TTTTTATTTATTTATTTGCGGCATCTCTAGTGTGCACACCTCGGTCTCTCCTTTTCCCTTGGCACATTCTTGACCCCGTGGGGGGTAGGGAAATGCTGCCGAAAATTTCAAAAAAATAAATATTGTTTCCCTTCACATATCTTTACTTATTTCTTTAATTATTTTTATTATTTATTTATTTCACTATTTATTTTTATTTTCTTCCGAAATCTCGCTGTTTATTTATTTTTCTCCCGTCTTCCCCCCCCTATGCTTGCTATTTCACTTTCTTGATTAGGTCACCGGTACCCTACCCTAGCCTTAAACCTCGGTTAGGGTTTTCTTACGGGTTTTGTAGGGTTTAGGGTTCCTTAAAACCCCCCTACTTCCCCATCCTCTTCGGGCACCCTGGACCCGAACCACCCCTCCCCCTTTGACGGCGCCCGTGCTAGCCTTGCTGGTGCCGTTCACCGCTTTCTACCGCGGACTTCCCTCTACGCCCTCCGCTCATGCGGACCTCTTCTGGCCCCCTCCAGTCCGGTCCGTCATCTCCCCATGGCCGACGGTGCGTCACACGCCGCCAATACGGCGATGACCACGGCATCGGGCTCCACACCCGTGCCGGCGGACCAGGGCCATCAGCCCCAGGGGGATCTACACACCCTCCTCACCTCCCTCCTTGCGCCCATCCAGGCGCAACTCGCGACCCTTGCGCCCATCCAGGCGCAACTCGCGACCCTTGCGCCCATCCAGGCGCAACTCGCGACCCTCGCGCCCTTACAGGCGCAGGTGGCAACCCTTGCCGCCGGCATGCAGCAACTCCAGGACGCTGCGTGTCCGTCATCTCCTGGCTCCCAGTCCGGGTCCCCCGTCCTCCGACAGGGTGGCCACGGCGAAGCTTCCTCCTCTGTTGCCCCTGACCCGGCCATCTTCGTGACTGTCCATGCCCCTGGCACGACGGCCGCCACGAGCCAGCCCCCCCCTCAGTCTACGGGCGCACCTGCCCAGATCGCGGTCACTACGGCCACGGTACAACAACCTGCTACCATGGTCTCAGCTTTTCCGGGTGCCCCACTTTTCCCTCCCCTTCGCACGACCGCAGCGCCACCTGGCTCTCCCCCTTCTGGGATGCCCCGTGCCACTTGTGCGTCCACCCCCTCCACTCTTCCTCGTGCCACCCCTCGATCGGCGTACTTTTGAGGTCTCGCGGACGAGATTGCCCAGCTCCGGGCCGACCTCGCCCTCTTACGCCTTCAACCACCCCCACCCTCACAGGTGGCCGCGCCTTCGGGCGCACCCCCTACCTCTTGTACCCTTCCTCCCATGCAGGCTCGCTTTCCGCGCCCTGCACCCTATACAACTCCTTCCTACCTTCTTCCTACTCCCGCGGTTGCTGCGACYTCTTCTACCGCAGCACCCTCGCAGCCTGCCGTTGTTGCCACCGCCGCTCCTCCATGCGGCCCGGGCGCACAGTGAGCTGCACCCCTTTCTCCACGACCTGCGCCGACTTACTTAGTCGTGGCACAGGCCTCCGCTCCTCGATCCCCTTGCCGCCAAAACGGTGGCGCACCACTCATCCGTTTGTCGAACATTGCCTTGTATGACGGTACAGGCATACGCGTGTCTCGGTGGCTGCAATCTGCCACCCGCACACTCCAGCTCATGGGCGCCACACCTGAGACGTGGGTGGGTCACCTCTCCACGCGCCCGCGTGGCGGTATCAGGCGGCCACAAGTAGTGCGCCGCCTGAAAGTGGCAGTCTTAGAACTTAGGCACAAGGACAAGTCCGTGCAATGACGGTATTCTGGTTTGACCAAGCCGCAAAATTAGGGGGACCCAGAGCACCCCTAAGATTGGAGGTGTCGATCGGGGAGACTAGCCCTCAGAATTGGCGAGAGAGACTACCTCTTCTACCGCGCTGGCGTCTATCTTATTTCCGCCGCTCCGAGCTTGTTTCCGAAACAACTGGCCGCAGAACGGTGATATGAGAATAGGCCTAGGCGTGGTCCCTTTTATGCTGCGCAACTGGCACGGGAATGAAGCCTCGGATTTCATTAGT